CTGGCTTTTGGGTTATCTTCTTGTTCTTTTTCCAGTTCTTTAAGGTGGGGCATTACGTTGTTTCTTTGTGTTATTTCTTGTTTCTTTATGTGAGCTTGCGTTGCTATATATTTTCCTCTTATAACTGCTTTTAACGTTTTGGAGACCTTGTTGTCATTGTCATTCTTCTCCAGGTATTTTCTAATTTCTTCTTTGATGTCCTCATTGATCCAATGTTCTTCCAGTAGTGTGGGTTTTAGTCTCCACGTGGTAGGTGGGTTTCTTGCCTTCTTTATGTGGTTTCTTTCTAGTTTGATTCCTTCACGGTCGGAGAAAATAGTTGGTATGATTTCGATCTTAGTGTATCTATTGATGTTTATCTTGTAACTCAGTGTGTGGTCAATCCTAGAGAATGATCCATGTGGATTTGAGAAAAATGCGTACTCAGATTTTCTGGGGTGCAGTATTCTATAGATGTCCACTAGACCCATGTTGTCCAATTCCTTGTTCAGAGCTTTAGTGTCTTTACTTATTTTTTGTCTTGTTCTGTTCATTGTTGAGAGTGGCATGTTGAAGTCTCCTACTATGTATGTATTTTCTCTGATACACATTTTCATGGATGACAGCAGTATCCTAATATATTTTGGTGCTCCTTCATTTGGTGCACATATGTTGATGATTGTTATTTCTTCTTGTTGTATTGTCCCCTTAATCATAATGTAGTGGCCTTCTGTATCTCTTTCAACCTTTTTTTAGTTTAAAGTCTATTTGATTTGATATAAGTATAGCAGTTTTGCCTTCTTTTTTGGTCCTTTTGCTATAGGATTGTTTTCCATCCTTTTATTTTCAGTCTGTTTTTATCTTTTGTAGTTAGATGTTTTTTCCTGCAGACAGCAGAATGATGGGTTCTGTTTTTTTATCCATCCAGCAGCTCTCTGTCTTTTTACTGATGAGTTTAAGCCATTTACATTTAGAGATAATATTGATATACTGGCAACTACATTTGCCATTTTGGTCCTTCTGTATTTTTATTCCTTGTTTTGAA